TATCTCTCTCTCTCTCTCTCTCTCTCTCTCTCTCTCTCTCTCTTTTCATACGTAGTCGTGGAGTTTCATGCTATTAATCAATGGGATTGCCTACGCTTATTCTGCTCATCCTTCAATTGTTGCCTAATCAATAGGGGCGAGTATCTATATGTCTCCATGCATCTGATCAGATTGGGAGGAAGTTGACGACGACAGTGCATGTATAAATTATGGCCATTCTATCAAGATTGGTTGGCTTTGAGTCTCCAAATACATATAAATTATATGTGAGTGGAGACACATGCAAAGGTATTCCATAAAGGGTAGTCAATGTTGGCTAATACTGAATTTGTCATTTTGTTTCAGAGGATGCCCCATCCTCAGAGGAGTTAAAAGAGGTTCGGAGGCTCACGACCCTTGCTTTTAGGGATTGTGTCCCTTATCAAAGAAGCTCCTTTGTTGCCCTCCAGTCAAGAACCGGAGTTGAGGTTTGCAATTCTCCATAATATTCACTGAAAGTTGCATTGTATGAGTTGCTCGCTTTGATGAATTTGTGCATCTTCAAGAGTTCGAACTCATTACTGCTATTATGAAAATCTGACCCAGTATACTCCCTAATTCTATGTTGTGGAGTTTGAAAGTGCAATTGAGTCTGTGACATTATCAAATTGAATTGAAGTGATTTCCTCATTATCCAATGATTAAGTGGCGCTGCAAATGATTGGTTGACTTTAACAAAATCGATATTTTTGAGATTGCATAGTTTCTTATTTTTAAATTATCTCCTTGATTGACCTATCTCATAAACTGTTTGTACCATACATGCATCTAGTTAAAGGCCATCCGTTGCACTCATATTTATGGCCAACATGATAACATGTTGTGTTTATTATGTTGTATAGGTTTGTACATTTTGTTTGATTATGAAGAATGCATCTTCATTACTCGATAACAGAGATCTGTTGAAATTGGAAACTGAAGCTACACTTGCTGATCTTGTAAGGTAGTTCCTCTATGAACTTGTGAAATTTTAAGCTGTTGGCCCATTCATGCTAATTAAATGTTTGACAAGTGGTCGTGCTATCATTGATTATGGATTGGCAACATACTCTAGAACACACTGGGTGGTTCCATGGTTGCTTGTTTCTATATGTAAATGTGCAATAGTCTAAGTCTAGCATGTATCGAACTTGCCAAAGTTCTCCTGAGCTACATGTCGTAGTAGTAGTACTAGCAGTAGTACTAGCAGTAGTTGTTGTTGTTGTTAATTATCATCATCATCATCATCATACCTTCCATGAAATATCATCACACCTTCCATGAAATATCATCACATTTGTGAGTTCAAAGGATAACTTCTAGATCCCATTATGACATATTTGTCAACTAAGTTGCTGGCATCAGGAAATAGGGATGTAAATATGTTGGACCTTGATTGGTCTTACCTTGGCCCATCAACCATGGTGCTGAACCAAGAAATTGATGATCAAAACATGTCCAACCATAATCTCTTAGCCTAAAATTTCTGAGACCGGTAAAGATTTGCATTGAAGTGGTATTTTAAATTTAGTATATGTGATTAAAGCAAAATTTGTATTGGTCATTATTTTATAACAAGAATTTTATTTATAATAAATTGCAAATTTTAATGTTCCATTTGGGGATATAAGGAACACAATAGTGTTAATGAATTGATATCATCATATAGCCCACTTACGAGGACATTGTCATAGGGAGAGAAAGAGCATATGTGAAAGTCGCAGTCCCCAAGGGGAGGACTGAAGCTTATGGTTGAATGAATAAATACCTTTCTTAAGTTTGAGGCCGTCAGACCACTAAATCACTTAACCACCTATAAACCATTTCAACATGTTAACTCCCAGTATGGATGGCAAGATACAATTTGGTCAAGCAGTGGTAGGCGCACCAACAAAACGTGGCGTTTACAGGTGAGATGAAGGCCTGGTATTTTCAGTTTTTATGTCACTAAAATAGCAACATGTTGTGAATGCACTAATACTGACTTGGATTATTCAGTTGGCACCAAAAAAATCACTTGAACCGCCAATGTACCGTCACCTAAAATGTCATTCCAAAAGCGTTTAAGCATTTTCTGGGGTGGGATGCAAATGAACCATATCTCTTGCCGTCCCTCCCTCTCTTTCTCTCTGTGTAAATATCTATGTGTGTGTATCTGTGTTGGAGGAAAATATTCATAGTCTTTAGAAATGACTGAGGAATCTAGAGATAAAAAATTTGGTCAATTATGCTTGAATTTTCTAGCATATTTGCACTTGTATGATTAGAGTGGGATGTGCTTTTCTATGGGGGAAAAAAAGTAGAATACAAATATTAAAAAAAAAATGCAATAACTAAAAAGTAAAATACAAGTATTATCTTGTTTTGAATCAAAATAAAATAAAAGCCCTGGCATGAATTATAATAACCTGCATTAGTGTTATTTTGTGAATGTATTGTGCCAACATCACAAGTTGAAGGCTTTTTTGTAGCTGATGCTGCTGCTTCAATGCAGATTGTTTGTCTCGCTGGATGATAACTTGGATAGCAATGATCTTCAGGTTCCCTCCAATAGGTAGATGTAGTTACTGGGGGCTTTTTATCAAGCACTATGATAATTCGGTACAATTGGTTTGTGGTTCTAATAGATGTTTATGTGAGCTCATGTCCTCATTAATTAGATCAAGTGTTCATTGCCTACAATTAATTCTAAACTTGAAGCTATTACGAGATTCCTTACCAAAGCTTCAAAAGTTCGTATGTTTCTGTATTAAATTTTTTACCAGCTTTCTTCTTTAATTGGTGAGTTGATTTGGTTTTCTCCATTGAATCTCAATATTTGAAGCAATTGTGTTGTCTATAGATGGCCAATTAGCATCAGTTTTTTCATGCTTTTATGATGCACATATATTTACTGCTCTATTGCAGTTGGAACCTTGTTTTGAAATTCAATCTCAGTTCATGGCTTGGTCTTCAGTAATTTACCAAACTGCAAATTTTCAATAAAAATAACAAAATGCACAGTTAATGCATTGTTAGTGATTAATTGTATAATTCATGCATGATTGTTGTAATTTCTAGAATATTCATTGACAACATAACAATCATGATTATCATCATCCGAGCCTTATCCCAACTATTTAGGGTTGACTATACGAACCTTGCACCTAATAGCTAGTCTTTATTGATGAACAAAAAAGAAACATGAGATAAGAAACATGAACATCCTCTTACTCCAATTGCGTTTGGCCTGACTTTGACCGTACAGATAAAAAGGGCTAGGGGCACATTAGAACAGTTTCTTGGATGGAGTATCAAGTTCGAGCATCTTTTTATTTGGTCTTCAAAATTTCCTAGCACTCATCTTTTGATTTGATGTTCAAAAGCAGCCTTTTTCAAATAAATTAAAATTGATGGTTGTTTTTGTTTTTTATTTTATCCCACAATCAGTTCCATGTTCTACCCCAAAAAAACTTTCTCCGAGTATTTTATTTTCCAAAAGAGACACTTGAATTAAGCTATTATATATCCGTTCGTATTCGATGGAGGTATATGTTGATGCAGTGATGCTAGATCCCATGTCTCCAGCAGTGTAATCTCTTCCTGCATAGCTTACTGTCTCATGCTTTTGAGTCTGATTCTTATGGTACCCAAGGTTCCCATAAAGTTTGCAAGGGATTTAAATGCACTGTAAAATGTCATAGGCTGGCAGAAGTGCTGTGTGTCCATTTCTGATGATGGTGGGTCAAATTGTGGCAACTGTTCTGCCTCTGGATATGTAGTAATTGAGTTAGTGGTTGATTACCTACCCTAAAAAAGAAAACAGATGTTGATTCTCTAACCGGAACAGCAGCATCTACCCTTAAGCCTAGCCAAAAAAAAGGCAGTATCTATTCTAGGCTCAGCCCAAAAAAAAGAAAAGCAATGTCTATTGTAGGCATTGTTCGAGTGTCTAGGACTCGTAACTTATCAACGTTGTTTACCCCTCATGGTTCTTCTTTGTTCATCAATAATGACTAGCTATCAGGAAGAGGATTCGTGTGGCTGACCCCAAAATAGTTGGGATAAGGCTCGGATAATTTATATTTATGGGTGAGGTTTATATGAGGCTCCCTCCTTATACTAGAAGTAAGGCACACCTCTAAAATTTGTTTGGATGCACTGTTCCGGTGTTGGAAACCTTGTGATGGATTGAAAATCCATCTTTATCGTTAATTATTTTAAAATTTAAAAAATGTTATTAGATTGAGCATATCTATAAAACACTTGAAAATCTTGAAAATAGACGGTCCACATAACTTGTTACAAAATGCACTATTTTAAGGACTTACAATTCCCTTTTCTTTCATATTGACATATCTTGAGGTTCTCCGATGTTGGAAACGCTTTCTTCTAAGGGATTTTTATACTTCAACAATTTAAGGTTGCAACCTTTATATAAAGGGTGTGATTTCTATAAGACCTTGAACAATCCAATTAAGGTGCACCTCCAAATTTTATCATAACATGTAATTTGGGTATAAAAAATTCCTAGGATTACTTGAAAATCTATTTTTATCCCTAATTATAAAATTTTAAACTTAAAAAATGGTTAAAATCAAGTAGATCTATAAACATATGAAAATCTTGAAAATGGACGTCTAGATTATATGTTGCAATATGCACTATTTCTGGGACTCAATTGTTTTTTCTTCATATTCATACATCTTGATGTCGAGATAATCAATGAAAAGGTTTTTCAACATTAAAACAACCTTTTCCGATGGATTTTTGAGGTGCATATGTAGTTGTACATTTTAAGGTTGCAACCTTATATAAACTGTTTCCTTATATAACCTTTTCATATATATATATATATATATATATATATATATATGAGAGAGAGAGCAAAATTGAGGCAATAGAAAGGAATGTTCAACTCTCAAAATTTGGATCCCATTCTATCGGTAAAGAAAAATGGAAAAATAAATTTTACGAATCTACATTTCTATGTTTTGTAGTTAGAATGCTGAGATGTCTTAAAAGAATCACTAGTCTGATGTGGTACGCAAACATGTCTTTGTAATAGAAAAGTCACTGAGAAGCCAGCTTCTATTGTTCTCTTATGATAAACCTTCATATTTATGGATTCTGATAGCTTTCCTCATGTTATTACACAAAGCTTGCATCTGAATCTGAGTCTCTCGTATCTTAATTCATAATGCACAACGCAATAGAGAATTAATCTGTCTGTAATTTATGAAGTGCATGCAACAAATTGGTTACAGGGGGCCGATTGCATGTGATAATCAACTGTTTACTGCAGGCAGAAGGTGGGTGAAGTTCTCATGGATGCGATTGTCGCTCTCAACAGATTTGAACATGGTGTGAAAGATTGCCTGGGTATCTGAGGAGTGCTGCAAAAGAAGGTTGTGGCCTTGTGCAAAGAAAGGGAAGAGAACATCCAATGTTTGTTCATTTGCATGACAATGGTGATATGGCAAATGTTGTGAGACTGTCTCTAGGCTATTTAAATTTAGGCTTCATTTTTCTAATTCCTCTGTTTCTTTTCTTATCAGGGTATGCTCATTAACATGGGCCAGAAACACTATGCTACAGGATCAGGCATGAAGCCTTGGCTCACTCTCACAATGGCCTGCTTCGTGGTCTGATATAGGTTGATGATGCACTTGTGTGGTCTCGTGTATGTAGGTGGAGAGGATTGGGTATACGAAATGTCAGATGTGAGTGCCGTATCCTTGTATTGACACATGCAAAAGACAACTATTATTCTGCAGGAAAATCTCTCTCTCTCTCTCTCTATATATATATATATCTCCTTTTTCTTCTTTGGAACATATACTGATTCTGAAACTCAAGTTTGGCTTTGCTCCTTCAGCTTGCTCTTGACCAATGTTATGTTGATTCGGATTGGATTCAATTGGTGAGTGCCTAGTTCTTTTACAAAATCAGGAATTGGAACGATTTGGTGGGAATTGCCTGATTCTACCAAAGATCTGAGCCATTTTGTTAGTGGAAACGGTGATCGGAGACAGAACCAAATGATTCCCACGTAATTTTTTTTTTTTTTTTATTAGTTTTTGACCTTGAGAATTGACCAATCAACTTCTGATCGTGGGTTTAAAACAATGATCCTAACGATTTATAAATAATCTTTGAATTCCATCTACCATTTTCCTTTCTCTTCCCACAAGAGGACAACCATTGAGTGATTTTCAGCAACGTGGTGCAAATCATAGCCTGTGGGGGCTGGTCTAGTTCCACCGCATGAGCTGGTTTACTCTTTTTTTTTTCTAAGACCAAAATTTTAAAATTAGATTTTTATTTTATTTTTCTCTCGTTTCTTCACCAAATCTTGTCAAATTTGTCACAAAATTATTCGTCTCCTCTGGAATTCAGACTCTTCATGTTCTTTTTTATTTATAAATTGAAAATTTATATTTATCATGTGTCTGTTGGTCTTCTTTTTCTTCTTATCCAAGCCGAGTAAGCCAGTTCACTGAGTTCAATCCACATTTTGATCCACAGTCGGTACTTTTAAACATTGCATAAACTCTAATAAGGTTTAAATTCTGAAAGCCCCACTTAAGCTTGACTTTATAGAAAAATTAGAGAGATTTATCAAAATGCTCATTTAACATTTTATCTATTTGCATTTATCAAAAAAAAAAAAAAATTATCATGTTTTTTTTTATAGGGATTTTAAAACCAACTCAAAAGATATGGGTAACATGTTAAATTGTTCATCTCTCGTAGATACTCTCATGGGTATATGATAAAATTTTCAAAAAATTAACACTTCCAACCATCTGAGTGCACGTTTGAGAGGTAAAGGTGACTATGAAATTTTGTTTCACATATAAAAGGTATCACGCTGTAGAATCCCAACCCTTTACAACTTTATCCTTAAAAAAAATAGGGAAATTGTTACAAAAATCCATTTAGTAATTCATATATCCCAATTGTTTAGCATATATTCAGAATTCAAGAAAAGGATGTGCAAAGTTTTACGTTGGTTATGTTACAAAAATCCATTTAGTAATTCATATATCCCAATTGTTTAGCATATATTCAGAATTCAAGAAAAGGATGTGCAAAGTTTTACGTTGGTTATCTACTTAAAAGAACCCTCTTGCTGGAGTTTGAGATTGGAAACGACAAAAATGGAGCTGGCCAAGGTGGAATTCAATATTTAAATTTATCAAATTCTTCACTTATTTATGCTCATAACCATTTTTTTCCCGCTTTTTATTTTTCTCTTATTCTTTAATTGCAGCCGCTAGGACTACAAATTTGTTCTAGCGGTACCACCATGGACGTAATAGGTTTAGGTCTACCGTGGTGCCTGAGGCACTAAGGCTTGGACATTACCACCGGGGGAGTTACATATATGTGGTGGTGCCTGGGTCTGTGGCGGTATCGCCTCAGGCCTGACAAGTCCACATCGATACCATTACGAATGTAACTGATCCCTCGTGAGGGCAATTAAGGAAAAACAGGAGCACATGAAAAAATTGGGTGTGAGTATATAAATAAGTGAAGAATTTGGTAAATTTGTAAAAAATTTAAAAGATACATATGATAATTCTGAAAGCAAAATGGTTTGATAGGGCTACAACCTTATCAAAATAAGTAAAACCTCACTTCATAAAGCACTATATATTGCAATTCAAGCATTGGAAAACCTTTACATTGATCATCTAGGACTTGAAAAATTAAGCTTTTAAGTTCTACAAATAATGGATATTATAACAAATTATCTAGATTGTATATTTCACACTTATTTTTAAGTGTTCATATATCCATTAGATCTGTACCATTTTTTGAGTTTCAAAACTTATTGTTGATATTGAAAATTGATTTTAGAGCCATCATAGAGGTTTCTACTGTCGAAAGTGCTTTTTGGACAAGGATTTGAAGTAAGACTTTATTTTGTTTTTATAAAACCTAGGCCTTAGGGCTCGTTTGCTTCGTATAAAAACTTACAACATATAACATTTTTTTTATGAAACATACAATTGCACAAAATTAGTTCGTGTGTAGATGTCTTATAGAAAAAAGATTTTCGTTTCCCTTCTTTCTTTCTTGTTTTTTTTTTTTTTTCTTGTAACTTTTCATATGCAGGCTTTCTATCTTTCCCCTCCAGCATAAAACTTGCATTCTTCCACTTATCTAACCGTTCATTCTGAATGAAGGGTTAAGATTACCCCAATCACAATGTCATGTTATTTTTAATTTTTCTTCTATAAATTATTTTGACACCAAATTTTGTACGTCCAATCCTCTATTAACCTCACATTAGCAAAAAATATAAAACATATATTTCCAATAAAATAAAATGATCAAAATACCCCTGAAAGATTTAAGGGATATTTTGGTCATTATATTTTATCGAAAAATTATTTTTAATATTTTTTATAGGTGCGCCCCAATGAGAAGATGGCACGTACCAAATTTCATATTCAGAAAAATTGTATTAAAAAAAACTAAAATAAAATACTTTGAGATATCGTATCTAAGATCAAACGGTTAGTGGCTCTCTTGATCAAAATTGGACGGCTAGATGGTAAGGTGAGAATAGATCTCCTTGCTTCCTACATATCGAGATCTATTCTTACCTCATTTTAGTTTTTTATTACTAATTATATGAATATGAAATTTGGTATTTCAC